AACGCCCATAACAAATCTCATGCATTTATATAAACTAAACAAAATCAAAACAATTATTTAAATAAACTTTATCATATTCTACTAGGAAGTGGACTATTCGAAGAATTCAAAGAGTCCACTGTACCTAAAATAATTTATTATTTGATGGAAATGCCCTATATTTTACATATAAATTAAATTAAAATAATATGTTTGATAACCTAAACAACTTTTAGTTTCTATAGTGTAGGTATGAATGTGAACCTGATTATCATAATAACATATATGTATAATATATCTTATTTTTTGTTAAACTTAAAGTTTTTTGACTGTATCTTGGAATGACTACTATCAAAAAATTCGTAAAAATGTTTACATATTTTCCGTGAATAAAGAACTATTACTATTATTATATTTTCTTTTTATAAGTACTTGACCTATTAAAGGAAATCCTCAGTAGTGATTTTGGCCTTACATATTGTATATCTTTTTATTTTTTACGTACATTTATTTTAATACGTAAGTTAAATATTAGTGTTTATCTGGATGGCCAATTAATTATGATTATTAATATTTAAAAATGGAATTAAATTGGTGAGAGTCTCGTCTTATCGTTTTTTATAGTTGTATCGAAAAAACTGAGATCGATTTTATGAAAAACTGGTTTTTCGTAATTGGTGGAGCAGTTTTACCTTACGCGCGTTACACTAAAACGCGAGAAAATCAAAAAATTACTTCTCCAAACCCATGTTTGAATATTAGATTAAGATACATCGGATCGCCACTTGCACACTATAAAATTAAATTGCAGACGTCATATTATGCTCAACATACACGTCATCGTAGTTGTAAAACGAATACATTCCTTGGTTCAAAACTTGGAATGGTGTCTCTCTACTCGATCGCAACAAACACAATAATATTATAATATTATGTTATACATTCTTTTATTATGTTTAAATACCAGTGAACCGCTCGCGTTTGCTTAGTGGAGCGGCAGAGGCGTGCGCATGGAAAAAAAACATTCGCTGCAGCCGCCGTCGGTGGTGGCCTATGCAAACATAGCGAAAAAACGACGAACTGACAACCAGTTTTTCCCCGTTATGTTTTATGTTTTACTATTATGTTTTTTCCTATTCCGATTGTGAAATCTGTTGTAAGTCTGGCAACGCCGAGAGTGAATCGAATTCGCTAATTACATCGAAGGCGGCGGCGGCATACACACTCCTCGCACATACCGGTCCTTGAGGGCCTCCCCCTCCCCCTCCTACCGCATTCTCAGGACCCGTCGGACACAATAGACTCGGCGCCGCTCCGTTCGTCCGCCAGCCACCCTCCGTCGTCGTCCCGCGGGCGTAAAAACACAGGGAGCTTATAAACGCGATATAATTCAATTCAGCGGCGCGCGCGCGACCGGTCGTTCATTTATACTCGCTTGGGCCGTCGGCGACGATCGCGCGCGCGCGAGTCATCCGAATAGAAGTAATAGTAGTAGTAATACGGCGGCGGCGTAGGTGGTTTCTGTGGGATTTGGACCCGGGAGCATGGTTACGTTCCCTCTACCGGCTAACACCGTATACGCATGTGACACAATTACCATAATAATAATAATATTATTACATCAACGCGGGCGCGTTGCCGCGTAGTCGTTAATAACCGGGTTCGTCGATCGAACTCCCATCATATTATTATTGTCACTTTATTATGATTTCTAATTTTTTTTTCCTTTCCATTAATCGATATCGTTTCGGCTGAATCGTTGAAAAAAAAACATCGCCACCGAGCCGCCGGTGGTCATGATGACATATGCACTCGAAATTAAAACATGAACATCTCGAGTGCCCTCTATATTTTTTATATTTGATAAACTCGTCGTCTTGACTTCTTTACATATATTTACTTGGCCAATTCTTTAGTCGAGTGTCGACGCGATGGCAATTAAACGATTTAGCACATGTGTACGGCATAACATTATATTGTAGATTTGTAGGCTTGTAGCCATCAAACATTGTTCCGATTTTAAGTCGTGTAATTCAGCGGATCATTAATCAATCAATCGTTCGATCAATTACAAATTTCCATGGGACGACGTCGCGACTCCTGTGTATATGTGTCAACATTTTTCCGTGCTTTTATTAGTTTTATTACCTACTTTACTAATAATATTATAATTTACTATAATATTAGGTACACTCCCGAGGGGCCGCATCTCTCCGGACGTGCCCGAATCTGTTAGGTTTCGTGTGTGCGGTGCCCGGTCCACGCGTACGACCAAACGCCGCCGCGGTACGCGCGCCAGACATCAGACGTGCCCCGCAGTGCCCTGCTGATAAAAATAATCGTAGCATTACCGTTCGAGCTCTTGTAGTAGTCGTCAGCTGACTGCCCACTCAGCCGTACCAGCCGCGGCCGTGACGTCACGAATCCGGCGGCGTTGCCAAACAGTGCGCCCCCGCGCTCCCCTTGCTCGTGCATTTTCACGTACACACGCACACACTTCCTTCCTCCGTCGGTTTTATTTCATTTTTTTCTCGCTCGTTCTTTTCCTCTTTTCGTTCTCTGGTTTTATATATTTTATATAATTTTTTATTTTTTCCCAATGTCTAACGCTCACACACCAAAACACGAGCATAATTTGTACATATACACACTGGCGAGCGCGTTCTCCTATTAGAACGTTATAATACTATTATATTATTCCTTACTTATACCTTTCGTGTTTCTCCGGTATTATTATCATTATTATAATATAATACATTATATATTATATATGCATAGAGAGGAACGCGCCGACGTATACCACGTACGCTTCCCGGGCCGACATTACCGTTGGCGGAGGAGTCGCCATATTGGACTCTCGTTGAGGATTTTTGTTGTTTACGCGGCCGTTGCCCGTTGCACTAAATCACGACTATTATAATATAATACACGGTATACACACCGGACGCCACGCCAGCTCGTGCGCGCGCGTGTGTGCATTTCAATTTACCACTTCGCTAAAAACCGATGGGCGGCGCCATCTTAGTTTTGTTTTTTCCCCCATTGCTCCCGCCGCCGATGCGATCGTGTAACCTCATTTGGCTATATCTTTTTCACGATACCACAGAAACACACGCATACAATATAGAGGTACAAAAATTACTACTACGTCGTATAGTGCACAACGACTACAGTGCACAACGTTTGTACGCACACAATGATACGTAACGATATTGTAATCTCCGTAAACTGTTCCTATACAAATACATTATTATAAATATTATATTTTTGGCGTTATCAGTGCGATTTGTTTTCCGATTTTCCTTTACAGGCACGTACTTACATAATTTTTATCATTGTACGCATATTCGAAAGTTTCGTAGAGACTAAAAATAGATTCTTCTAATCTCAAACGTTTGTAAAATAACGTCATTGGGAGTGGATGGATCAGCTGTAATAATTTCCGTTTAACCGGACGGGTACGAAGGGGTTAGTTGTACTTGACGCTCCGACGGTTGGTGGCCAAAAATAGTTTCGAAATTACTATAGCTTCGTGTTATTTATAAATTATTCGTCTCGGATTGTTAAACTAAAAAAAAAACGATCGTCGGATTGTCGGTTTGAAAATCTAAGCAGATATCATACGTCTACCGATACTGTAGTATCTTTCATGTCCAAGGAAAGTGTCGGCTTCGCGATATTTTCGTTCCGACGGGTTAGGACCACTTTTGTCACGTATCAATGTAGTATACATCTTTTCGTCGACCGTTTTCACGATAGGACCGAAAGAAGACGTAAACGAACGGGATATGTGATGGGGGTTGAAAATATCGTTGTGTGCAGATGGGTAGTTTAGGTGTGCGCGTTACACAATGGTGGTGGAGCTGGACGTGTGCGGGCCGCGGTGTGTGATACGCACACGGTAGGTGGTTGAAAATTGTCGGTGAAAATTCGCAACAGGGTAGGGGCGCCAAAGGAGAGAGTGTGTGAGAGTGTCGGTTGGGAACGGCCCGTGAGTGGTTACACTGGTGCGGTGGTTGCGCGGTGTGCGAAGGTCGCGCAGCATTGGGCATTGCGCGCAATCGAAAAAAGAGAGAGAAGAGGAGAGAAAAAAAATTATAGTAGTTGAATATTATTATTATTACCAAACACAGGAAAGGAATGCATATTACTACTATACAGCGGTATACTATAACACTGATGCAGTGTATATTATTATTGAATACACGCGTTTTATAGAGAGCGGGCCCCCGAGAGCAGAGCAGCTGCTCGTGTGCACACTGTCATATTATATATTATTATTATTATTTTATATATTATATTATATTATTATCGTCGGGAGGATATAGAGTCATTATTCCCATTCCGAGTCCGGTCATCGGGTCGTGCGGGCCGCCGTCATCATTTCACAAAACCGCCAGTCGGCAGTGCGTGCGCGTCCGTCCATCGTCGTCGTCCGTCTGTTCGGTTCACTTCTCTTCTACGTCCGCGTGCGTCGTCTCCGTACCTATGGTTTCCAACAAACGCCGCCCGCAGGCGCGATAACACCGACGACAACGATAATAATATTATTATTATCATATCCCGAAGCCCGGAAAATAATTAAATACGCGCAACGCTTTTCTTCCCGTCCGAATTCGCACGCGCGCGCGCGCTCGCACCCGGTGCACACCGGAGGCGGCGCCCTCGTCTTGTGCCACGGAGGAAAGACGCGTATGCCCGACGTCGCGAGGAGTTTTTCTTATTATTTTTTTTTAACGGCTGCTTCGGCGAATTTCATTTTAAAATCAATATTATGTCGTGTGGAAACTCGGACGATGAGTTCCGCCAACGGCTGCTGTTGTAGTAGTAGTACCTAACTAGTGTAACGGCAGCGATTGAACGGCGGTGGGGTGTACTTTTCTCGCCGTCCGACCCCCCTCACTTCCCGCCAGTACATCTTCCCCGTCCCCGACCGCCGCCGTTGCCGACTCCACCTTCACCCTACTCCCCCCGGCCCATGGAAGAGGCGCAGAGTTCATATTGTTGCGTCGCCAGTGCATATGTCGTGTTACCTCGTGCCGCTGCCACCGCCGCCTTCGTCGTCAGCAGCAGCAGCGACCGGTGCGCATTTATCGATGATGATGTGTTCACAAGGTTAGTTCGACACCTGTACAATTGTATGTGTTCCACAAGACCATGCAATTCAATAATATATGTTTGTATATAATATATATCATTAATACTGTGTAATATTTATACTGTACCTATTAAATATACTTCATAGTAGACACGATGATAATACGATATATATTATGTAAACATCGTTATTATCGTGTGTGTCCTCAAAGAAGTAGTTTTTAAAAACTTTCGATATAATTTAATATAATATTGTAATAGTATCATTATATAAGCGTATCGCGTACAAACAATAATATTATGCTCTACAGTCGCGTCGTTTCTTCCGCATTCCGGGGACACTCGCTTCTCGTCATCCGAGTCGAAAACGTCTCCATTTTCTTATAACATTAAAAGACGTCTCTTCATGGGAACATACTTTGTTGTCCTGATTATATTATTATTATTGTATACCGAAAACACACACATGTACGCTTACATCGTACAAAGACAACCCCTATTCGGTCGGTCACGGTGAGAGGGTTGCTTCGCGTCCGCCGCCGTCGTAGTGGTGTTTGTTGCGTATACCATAGTTGTAGTAGTCGTATTATTTTCGGACGACCGCCGATCGATAATGCCTCGACCTCTCGGTGGGTTTTTTAAATACGGTTCGCGTTTATTCTAAAATGTACGAGAAATTGCTCGACGGTCGTCGTCGTCGCCGCCGTACCACGCCCCCTCCACTGTATATTAGCCGACACCGCGCTACTACACTACCTTGTTCCGACCGTTTCCCTCCGCAAAATGTTCCTCCGCTGACTGTTCAATTAAAGATAATTTTTTTCTCTGCTGCTCACACAACGACACGATATAATATAAATATAATATATCCAAGCGCGCACACACACACACACACACGTTGGTTGGTAGGTTGTTGTACGGTAGTGTGGCGGCTCGGACGACGAAATCCGTAAATGGCGATATTGCTGCATCGTCGTCGAAAGACGCGTTTCGATTCCTCTACAATATTATTATACGCCAAGAAATCATATATATCTATATATATAAATATTATATGCACGTCGTGTGGATTTTATTTTTTTTATAATCGCATTCGCCTCTGGCAACGGATTCCTTCATAGGTCGTCGTCGTCGTGTTTGTGTGCGTGTACGTGGCAAGTTCGCGTAGCACATTCGTGGAACACTCGGCGGCTGCTGCTGCCGCCGCCGCCGCCACTTGTGTCGTCTTTTGTACGCGAAGTGAGGGAGGGTGGGAGACCGCGTGCGTGTGTGTCTTGTACGAGGAGCGCGAGAGCCGAGAGGAGATGTGCTCTGGATAAATACGTCGTGTAATAAATAAGCGGCCGAGAAGTGTAACCGGGCGCGCGCGAACAATGGCGGCCGAACACCGTACACAAACACACATGCACGCACACAAACATATATACACACACACAAACATATATATACACACACAAACATATATATACACACACAAACATATATATATACACACACACACACTTGCGCGCGCATACTTATTTGTGTGTGTGTGTGTGTGTGCGTATGCACCGATGACGGGAAAGACTGAGAGCGAGCGAGAGAGTGAGAGAGAGAGATGACCGGCCAAAGTTTCTGCCGCCGCATTCCGATGTGTTTTATTTTTGCGCTCGCGTCCCATACGACTATAACCCAAATCCGCGACTTTTCGTCGTGTACGCATGCACCGATAGACCGTTTCGTCGGCTTTTTCCGCCTTTGCGTCATTTCCGCGCTCGAGAGGCGGACGGTTGGCAGGTAGGTAGATAGGAGCTGTGGCGGTGCTCGACGTTTTGTGTCTGACGACCGACGTTATTTTTAAGAGGCGTTATTATTCTGTGCGCATGAAAAAGTGTTCATAATTAATAATATTATTACGACGAGACCACTGTGTCATAGCGGGCACCAAACGAATCCGATCATACACTATTTTGTAATACCTTCTATAATATTACTTATAGGTACTAGTGTATGACGTCGTTTCACTTAGTCGATAACGCTTTAAGTCGATTTGCAGTGACATTTTATTTGCGCGCTCTTAAAAATCGCTTACGACTAATTCCGTTTAAGAGATATATTTAAAAAATAACAATCCGATTAGTTAGACGGTTGAGACTTTTCTACCGTTTCTCACGTTTTTGTGTACTAATACTCGAAAACACGTTTCCACTGGTCCATGTGTGTGATGTAAAGCATTAGAAAATTATTGATCGTCGTTTTATGGAATAATATTATTACTGTATGCATAGAATGTACATTTCACACCGTCATCAAACCTCTAACCGTAGATCACGCGACGAGTTCACGGTTTTGATAATTTATAATTTGGTGAATAATTAATAAAATATGTCAAACAACGCGACACACGAAAAATTGTGTTTGCCGCATTTGAAACGACATTTGTACAGAATATTTAATTGATAAAAATGACACCGTGTAACGTGACCAAGGACTAATTTATATATTATGTGACCTAGAGAGGGCAGATTATAAAAGCTATTTTTCTATCTATTTTATTGTTAAAATGTTTCGATTTTCTTACCGTGCGTCGTCGACGTGTCGCCGTAAGATTACAATATTCATAAACGTTAGGTAGTTTTTTTCATTTCGCATCTAACCGAACGTATCAATAATCATCCGACAAGTATTAAAGTATATTATAATCGTATTATAAGTGTTTTGAGTACTCGAGTCACATATTTTATTTAAATCGATATTAATTAGTTGTACCGTTGTGTTCTGCGTCGGTTAACTAGAAAAATAATCTTTAAACAACATAATATCATGTTGTCAATAAGTAGATGATTAAATGAATGGTTCTATTAGCGCAGAATGTTTGAGAACGTGGACGACGTAAAAATAAAAAGAATACAAAATGGAAACAAAAATTATGTTTTTGTGCTGGTACTAAATCTGAAGTAGTGTGAAACTGTGAACTGTGGAACGTGTTAGTAGTATACAGTTGCGCCGAACAGCAGAGATACCGTCGTCGTTCGGGTTTTTCGACTTGGATCGGTGAATGATCATAATATTGCCGTGTGCAAATCGTTTCTAACCATTATTTTATTACCGACATGATCGAATTTACAAGTACTGTGAAAATAGAAAAAAAAAACGGTATTCGATCGTCCGACTATAATATAATAATAATAATAATAATAGTAGTAATAATAATATAGAGTTTCGTTGACCCCAAAGTGTTCTACCGAGTCGAACAACAAGTGAACATATTTTCTTGGCCGACAATAATAATTGCGTTTAAAAACCCGACGGAATAAAATAATTTACTCTCCCGCGTGGCCGCGTACCATATAACATTACATTATAGAGAACGTATAACAAAAAACAGAACGATCGTTGTGTTTGAACGATTCACCGTCGCCTACGTCGTCGTCGGCGTAGTGTCGTAGACGGTCAAATGTCGGTAATTCGGTAACGTGACGCTGTGAGAAAACCGGGCGGGACCCTATTTTAAATCCCCAAAACAACCCGACGAATGTAATAATATTATATCCTTCTAAAAACAAAAATAACGATTTTAAAAAACCGCCGCCGTCGCCGCCACTTATGCGCTCGCCTGTTTGATGCAATTGATCCGATTTTAAATTCCTACAAAAACCGGCGTTACGCTCTTACGCAACTCCCCGCCCAAGCATCATACATTTTGGTAAAGTGTCCGCTCACCCCGCTCGAGGGGTTATTTAAATTTAATATAATATCATAAAATTTAATAACTGTAGAACCTTATCACATGTCATGAATACTTAAAATATTTTAAATTTGTAGGTAGATACATTTGGAGAATTACAATCTACAACAGAATGTTTTTAGAAAAAACGATTCCCGACTGTCTGAAAAATGTAGTTTATAGGGAGGCACTGAATAGGTTGGTTCGATGTGTAAGTTCCGTCGAAATTAGAATTTTTTTCAAGCTATAATACTATTAATATTACTATAATATCATCGTGTTTACGATTGTGTAAAATACAATACAAACTGCACTGCGGACGTTAAGTACGAATCTCACACGTCGCGTCGTCTGTCGGCCGGTGGGAGTCTTATTTGTGTGTATTAATAAAAATACCACGTAGGTACATAATAATAATAATGTATGTATAATGTATATACATTATATATATATGACAATACGAATATTTCTCGTTTGTCATTGAGTATTATACACGCCGCCGCTGCCGGGCGACTGTTATTTAATTGCGTTTCGAAATTTGCGCAGCAGTCGCGTGTGCGATATTATTATTTTTTCATTTCCACGTCAACGGGAATATCATTTTTTTTTTCATTCTCGTTTAAAAATGCCAACCGGTCGTCGTGCTCCACGAACGGTTTCTCAAAATCATTATAATTAAACGAATTTGTCATTATCAAGCTGTATCATATTATTATTATTTTTATTTAAATATCTCCGTCAACGTTGTCGTGTTTTATCGATTCGTCTTTGACGGCGATGGCGAAACGCAAATAATATATTCATATTGTATGAAAGTAGTAGTATTATGAAATCATAATTTCCATTAGCACTGCCGATACGGTGCGTGGCGACGACTGCAGCGACGGCGGGCTGAGCGTAAACGGTATGCCGGTATTAAGTATAATATTATATCGTAAAACGCCATTATTACTATCGTGTATTCGTGTAACGCGTCCTAAAACGTATTTCGGAATCCAGAGGTGTTTTCTAAGTCTTGTCCGCATCGCAATTTTTTTTTGGAAAATTTTTCATTTTACTCTTTCACGGTTTCCTGGGTAGCGTGTATTCGAAATCTTTACCATTTATTTATTTTGTTCGTCTACACCGCTCGGTCGGCGTGCGACGGCGGCTGTGTACTTTGCGATCTGGCCAGTTCCGCGTTCTTACGCCATTTCAGTTTTCAACTGTTGCGAAAAGCTTTTGTTGTGACGTTTCACGGATGTTTTCAAAAGCTCGTTTTCTCGAGGGCTGACGCTGATCACGGTCGAATTAACGTCACATTTGTTTTCGCGCGCGCGTATCGCATAAAAATAACACGATAAAGGTTTTTTGAACGACCTCTTCCAGTATATTATAGAAGAATGACGGCGGTGTGCTTACGCCCGGGAGTCGAGAGGGTTTTATTTTTTTTTTGTTCTCTTCCACCCGACTCGATGATATTATTATATACCTCGCGTCAACAATACGCGTTTGCAGTCTGTAATAATAATAATATCGTGTAAAGTGGTCGTGAAGAGGAGACCACGATTCTCGACTACACGAGGACCCTGCGGCGGCGTTCGGGAGGGACTCGTCTTTTCGACGGGGGGTGAGAATCTCGGCGGCGGGGTCTTCGACGACCGTCAAATCGACTGTGACCGGGTACTACCGGGTAACGGGTAACGTCGGCGGCGACGACCGAATGTCGGCGGGAGGGTGGCGGCAGCAGCGATGGGTTTTGTTTGCACTGTTACTGCCTTGACTATCGAGGCGGCGGGGCGCGCGGGGTAGGGCTCTGCTGGAGTTTTCAAACGTCTGTGGCCCGCTCCGGTGTGTTACTTATGCATGGCCGCCCGACAACGACACAGTGGCTTTTACGTGTACACACGCACAAGCACGGTCGCGCGTATGTACAATATGTATAAAACGGAGTTTGCTAGAATAGCTAGAGAATCGATCGTTTTCTCTTGGCACCCACCCGCCGCCCTGCCAGTCGCCACTCGCCACCGTCGCCATCGCGAACCCACCCGCCCGCCGGCCTAACTCGGTACACACACACAACACACGCTGCTACTCGGCATATACCTCGTGTCACGAATCAGTCCATCTCCCTCCGATGGCGGGCGGTGGCGGGGTCCTGCCCTTTTCCGTAGACGCGCCGTGAAACGGACACGATCCGGCAACGCAGCCCGACGGATGACCTCCCCTCCTCGCGCACAAACACCCTCTTCCACTCCGGGTCCTTCTCCTGCGGCCCGATCCGTGTGAATTCTAAATACTCCCGTACGCCACACACATACTCGATAATTAATAATAATATGTATAACATCGTGTGTTGTGTGCCCATGTGTGCGTGTATCTGTCCGGGTGTGTGTGTGTCAGTGTGTGTAATCCGTCTGCATGTACGTATGAGCCAGAGTGAGAAGGAGAGAGCGCGCTCGGTGCTATTATATTGTTATGTGTATTATTATTATTATACACGTCGTGTATTATAAAATACGAATATTGGTGTGCACAGTGCGCACGCAATAACAATATAAAAAGCAAAACGAAATGGAAAAAAAAACAACACAATATTAAGCTTTGTACGTTTCTCCTCCGTCCGACTGCTGCTACCACCGCGGCCGTCGTCGTCGTCGATGTCTTGGTACGCGCTCGCGTATGTGTGTGTGTGTCCGCCGCCGCCCTCTCGACCGTACGCAAACCGGCAACGTCGCGCGCTATATCGGCGGCGGTCGAACACAATGTCGGGATGAAAATGTCCATAATTACGTGTACACGGCCACCGCGTGCATACACAAACCAAACACACACACGCCGTCTCTTATTCTCTCGTCGTCCGCATACGTATATTATATAATATAAATAATAACAATACGAATAATAATTATTCCTCGGTACCCCCTTCTCCACTTTCGCCCTCTCCACTACCATCAACCCTACGTTGACGTGGGTTGACGGTTTTCTATACACACAAATAAAATAACCGTCTCGATGAGGAGGTACAAGGACCAATAATAAGACGACGTGACATCGGCGTGTGCGCGAGACGAGAGTGAAGAATAATAATAATTCTCCTACCCCTCGACTAACCGCTGCGGCGAACCGAACCCTATGGTTGCGCCGTGCGGTGGGTTGCTCCGAATGCGGGTTTCCACTTTACGCCGTCTCCTGACGAGCTGGTGTGGTGTGTGGCGCGCTCACGTAATGATACCGGGTGTGTTTGGGCCTGGGAGGCTCTGATTAGGTTGGCCCAAGTGCGATAACCCGATAAGAATAGAATTTCCCCCTCGCCCGCCGGCGCTTATTTTTGGTTTGCAAGCCTGTGTGTGTGTTTGGGGACGACCGCCAGTGGGGTGGCGGTAGTGGTAAAGTACCGCAATATTGTTGTGTACGTTTTGTTGTTTGCATGGCGGAAATGTCTAGAAAATTTGAGGTACGGAACAAGTGGAAATTATTTATTTATCGGACGGCAGAACGATACTACGGATGATGATGATAATAATTTTAATATCACGTTGCTGCTGCTGCTGCTGCTGCTGCCGCCACCAACGTGTAGTGTGAAAACAAAATACACCGATTGGTTAAAATTAACTTGCCGTTGACCTTCGGCATTTGCCGCTCGACCTGTTTAAAAATAGGCTATTTCGACTTAACGGGCGGCCGGGCGGAATATGAATTTCAATCGCCCGCAATCGGATTGTCTATCAATCTCGCAGCTATCCCCACGTAGAAACGAGATTTCCCTGAACAATATCGCGAGTCACTTATAACAATAATATTATAGTGCCTGACAACGGCCAAGTAGGGTCATGACTTGTTTATGTATATTTTAGTTTAATAGGTCCACTTTTTTTCGTTTTTCTTTCGCGTAGAGTAAATAAAATTCGTATTAGTATAACATTTTGTTCGATTGAAATCCGCGATTTGGGAGATTCTCTCTGTATGTGGTTTAATCGAAATCCGATCATCTACCGTGCAGGCGGCCGAGATCAGCCAAGATAGGCTGGCGGGCGATTAATTAGGCCGCCGCCGCCGCGCGCTGCTCGGAAACCAAGTAAAATTTAATAACCGGAGACAAAACATAATAATATACTCCACCGCGCGCCATCATAATATAATATTATGTTATTGTGCCTACACGTTTTCAGTTGATTTGTCGACAGTTTCTCTGACCAAGGTTTTGTGTTTCGTATAGGTGCTAGCGTCAAAATGGAGCATCACTTCCAAGCTGCGCTGGATCCACGTAAACAGGAATTACTGGAAGCCAGGTTCATCGGCGCACGAGTAAGTCAACTCAAAAAAAAAAAAAACACAAAAACCATAATATTACACGTCGTCTGCACACGGTATCGTAATAATAATAATTAATATTGTTTAGCATAAAATAATTTTTATAATCGTTGTGTGGTGTCTTAAAAAAAATAAGTAATAACACCGTCAGTGATGATTTGTTTGTGTTATATTAGTAGTGAGCTCTGAGCTGACGCTTCCCCCACCCACCCCTACGCCATCTAACAGTACCAGTTTTGCGTGTGCATGGTGTCTTAGGAAATGGAAATATTGTAATAGTATTATCGTTAAATTTCAGTGCACGACGATGCGGGCGGAAAATATAAAAAATTTACATCGGAGAAACTGTGTACACACAAACGAGTGGAGTGAAATTCGGGTCGGGAGGAAAAGAATAAAACTGTATAGAATACATTAATTCATCGGGTCCGGAAAATGGTGTTCTAAAATATGAAAATAATTGTGAATAATAAAGCAATAGTAATATACTTTAATCGTCGGGCGACGAATTATTATTATGTACGACGCCGCGCAATCGAAATAGAGTTACGGCCGCCGCCCGTGTAAATGGCAACAGTCGCGTGTTCCGTTTGCTTGCTCGATAACGCTGTCAAAACTTGGCTCGGAAACGACGAAAAAAAATTATATATATATAATATGCGTTTATATTATTATGCGCCGGTACGTGATTTGCTCACTCGATATTTAAAATATTATCGATCGATTTGTATTTATTAGCATACATATGAAACAGCTCAAACATACGCACTGCGACCACGGCCGACGTGTCTTTTTCTTTCTTTCTCTTTAATCGGTCGATTCGTGTTACGTCGTTATTCGGCCAATAATAATAATACCTATAAAATTGTTGTCACATTGACGCTATCACCCAGCGAGCGCCGCTCGTAGTCGTTCATTACAATATAAAATTATAGTTATCATCGAAACTCTAAAGTCGTCGTCGTCGTCGTTGCTGCCAATACCATTTATATGTAGTTCAACGTCTGTTTTTTGTTTTTAAATTCTAATACGCGTAAAAACTGTTTTGATATCTCAACAGTCCCCTTGGATTCTTTCCGACGTTTGAACGGACGTAGGCGTTAATACAACGACTCAACTATTGTACATCGATATTCGTATTCCAAATCGTTGTCGATTATCGCACAAAATTTATATTTTTTTTTCTTCAAGTCTGCGTGTTTTTTCCATTACATAGTTAATCGTCTCGGAACAGGAAACGATCGATTATTACCAGTATTATTTGATTGCGTTTCAAGGTGACCCTCCGCGACATGTGACGGTTTTTGTTTTGCTTTTATGCGTTTTGCCAGTGTCATATAATAAGATCGTCTTCGAAAACCACTGCTAAATCACTACGACAACCATGATAGTGCCGGTGTTCTACAATAATTCTGTTCGTCATTCCAGCCCGTACGTAAGTCGCACGAGTCTTCTATTTCTATTTATAAATCTCCTGTCGACGACAATCGGTACACGCACACACTGCGATCGCTTACTGCTCTCCGATCTCCGAGCATAATATTTTAATATTACCATAAAATAGGTATATGCGGTACGCGTCTTTCTGTACGTTAATGGTTATTTTTAACGGTATCGTCGTTTGCGGAGGGGGTAACTACGAATCGACCGCGTGTCGAGGAAGTTTCGAACGAGTTCGTCATCGTCACCTGATATATTATCATGACGTATAGAACGATTAAATGGAAATACATTTAATATAATATAATAATGTAGAAGTTTCGACAAGGCTAATAAATTATATTCATTAACGTTATGATTATTCACGATATTATAATTGTACAAGCTTGCGGTTTCCTCATTTACGTGTTGCTTGTTGTACAATATAATACTCTTCAGATTGTTTTTAACGTTCCTATTAATACTCATTAATGTAACAATGTTTATCGATATTTTGTTTAATTGATAATTTTATCTAATATTTTCTGTTTTAAAATTTATAAAGTTCATAGGTATTCTAAATATCGGAATGTGTTTTTATTATCACACTATCTTGAAAAATCTGAACCTGTTTGTTTTTTTTTTAATATTTACATTCAAAAGAATATATATGACTTCAAAACTGTTTGTATAATATTATATAATTGATTTATTTCGCGTTTTCATTTTCCACCACAAAATTCTAGACATTAAAAAAATTCAAATATTAAAAACTTAAACACCGATTTCATCACATTGCTCTGCCAGTAATCTTTATTTTAAATAACTGTTTTATTAGACGTTGTTCTATTATGTACACATCATAATTTCATAATATTCTAGATAATTTATATTTTAATTTTGTTTGTGTAACTAAACTGAAAAACATCATTATATTATTTTTACGTTCAGTGGGGTTGAAAAAAAATCCCCTCCATATTGTTCCGGCTTTAATTACGACTATGACTAATGAACGATGATAATTGAGTTGGTAATATGTCTATATGTAGCCTATATTTTCATATTATTAATATATGAGTTAACATATTATATTTGAAAAACTTCCTATAATCATCCTTATTAGATATTACCTACAGTATTTCCTTACGTATTTTTCAACTTTCAAGAAAAGTTGATCTATTACTAGATCATTAGTTCATAATTATTAATAATGTTCCTTATCTATAACATTGACTATAATGAATATCTTTTAATAATTCATGTTTTCAAAGAATGTATTATGAAATTTGAACCATCGTGTTTGATTAACGCTAATGGTTAGGTTGGTTAATAATTTCTGTCGATAATTCATCAATAGTGATAATATATTATGTAAAAATGTGTACATGTGTCGAAAATAATGTTATTTTAATCAAATTCTGAAATTGAATTTTTTTTTTTAAAAGGCGCTCGATTAAGAACGTACTTACGCGCACGCGTCAAGTATCGTTTTAACACAATCGTTCTCCCTTCCCCAAACGGAGAATATCTCTGGTTGTACTACAACAGCTGTGAGTATTATTATCAACGACATTGCCGCGGTGCCGATTTCGTTGAACGTTCACAACATCCATTCACACGATGCAAGGAGGAGCTTCCTCGTGTATACCTAACCAATACAGTGTAGTTTCGTACGCTTAGAAAACGTATCTTCCCGCTTTTGTACGGAATAAAAATCAATTTGAGCAAACACTTATTTACGTGTACAAAACAAAGAAATTCTTAATGTCTCATATTTAAAAATGGTTGGTCATATTAATGTTCATCTGTACATTATCTATACACCCTGTATAATATATACCTATATATTATATCTACCTGGTGTGCTTGGTATGTATAACGCGTATAACATGACGCGGAGGTGGGATAAATTCGAACGACACGATCCGTAATATATTTTTTTACGATACACATAATAACATAACGTGTATAATATAATAGTAATACAAACGCATTCGTATGATACTATTAGTCGATTTTCCTCTTCTCTATCCCACCCACTCAACTCGCAAGTCCACGCACACATACTGGGTGTATAAAACGCATATCGAATAATATGTGTATGTGTATATTTGTGTGTTAAGTCGTTGGGAAAGGTATAGAGGGTCGTCGAGCCGTGATAAGTGTGTGTGTATGGATGGGGTGAGGAGGGGTAAGGTAGACGACGAAATAAGAATATCGAGCTAGGTAACCCGAAATATAATATATATGATATACACATATCGACGTGGAACGCCATATTTAATTTAGTTCTCTTTCTCGTGACGTCGTCGTCATCGCAGCAGTAAGAATAATAATAATAATAATAATAATAATAACAACAACTACTAATACATATATAATATATACGTATTATTATGTAGTAATAAACAACTCCGTCCGCAGAGCTCTCCCCGGTAAACCGTCGCCGCCGCCGTTTACAAGTAAAAATCACCGTAGCGCCGTGCGGCGGTGCGTACTGTAAACTCTCTCGGTGTGTGTGAACCGTATAATACTTTCGATGGTAAATACTATACACAAACTCTACACGTATATGACATATACACTAACGTGCGTATAACGTGCGCGATCGCCGGGGCTGCACGGAGTAGTACGCTCGCGAACGCCGCGAGTTTGTGTGTGTTGTTGGTCGCCGGGAGTGTTTTTTCTTAAATCTCACTTACGCAATTTTTATCCGCCCACCCACACACCCGCCCCTTGAGTCGTCGTCGTCGAGAGGTGAACGCCACAGCGGCGCGTGTCTCGGCTAGCAGTTGTCGGCGGCGCGGTCAACGGGCGACGACGACGACGATCGTATTCGAGTGTCCGGTGGTGCACATACGGTGCAGTGTCAGTGTGTATTATTCGCTCTAGTCGCGCATCTCTCGCCGGGGGGCTGTGGCTTCCAAAGTGTTGTTTTTCGTCGGCAGGGTTCCCGCGGTGATTCGTTTTCATCCCGTTTTCGATTACAACGTTTCGTTCGGTTGATGCTGCCTTTCGCGCGTGTATTATTGATCAACGTCGGTCGCGGAGCATTATAGGCGGCGGAGGAGTGTTACGAACGGTTGTGGTGTACGCGGAAAGGGTGGACGACACCACCACCACCACCCCTCCCCCCGTCATCGCACACACACCGCCACTACACCGCTCGTCTTCGTTACGCGCTTTTAGTTATACATGACGTGTAACAGTAACAGCGTTAAGTGTAGTATTAGTAATAGAGGTAGTAGTGTGGCCGCTGCTGCACCGGAACCACCGCCGCCGAGGCATGTGTCGTTGTCGTTTGCCGCCGTCATCGTTCAGTAACTGCTATCTTCATCATGGTCAAGTGTCGCGTCGTCGGGACCACGTATTATCGGCAGCAACAGCAACACCACCAGCAGCAGCAGCAGTGTTCGTTTGATCGCGTCCGACTGCAGGTCGTCGTGGACAGTCCGCGAAAAAAGTCCCGGAAACGATGGGTAAAATACCGATACTCGACGACGGCGTTTCGATGGAAACGATGCACGTCACTTGTACACATAATATTTTGATACACGAGCACATAATATCATGAT